CAAATTTATTTATTCAAGGTATGTCGTCAACCGATATAGACTTCAAATTCAATGATTATGAAAGAATAGGAGGTCTAGAACCCTGATATAAAAGGAGAACATGAAACAATTAGTAGTAAAAGAAAAACAGTTTATCGGTTTCCTCTCTATAATCATTCTAGGAAACTCTAAGAAGGGACTTTGTACAGAAATATAATTTCATCTTAGGACGATGGAATCTCAAAACCCCCTTCAGTTCTTTCATTCAATTATCATCAAGATAGAGCCATAAAAACAATGCCGAGTGCTGTAGATAACAAGATATAGTAAATACTTCCTTTACTGAGCTAACTAAGCTTTGTCAGAAGTATTTTCTACTTTCAGCATAAACTATCAAAAAATAAAAATAAAAATGAGAATGTACCTGAGAAAAAATTGAACCTACTCCCACCACCATCAAGATTTCTGAAAATTGATTTTTGTTGAAGCCAAATGCTGATTTCAAATAGTACTGCAAGATCATAAAGAAAACTTAAAGGAGTTTCAGGATGAAACAGATCATTTTAATTGGTTTACATCACAAACTATCAGTAAATCATAACAAAAAAAATTATCTCAGCAGCTCAAACTATTTGTTAGTAACTGTAGAAGATATATCCCATAAGTTTATTAAAGGTGGGAAGCATCACTATGTTCTAAATGTCACAGAAGCCAGTTGAATAAAAATAGTTTTTGAAACATGAAGGGAGCTGGTTTAGGGACAGTAAATTTCATCTTTTGTTTTCCGGAGATGGAGCAAGCAAGTAGAATAGGTTCTTGTGGTACAATTTAATCCAGTTAACAGAGATCAGGATTGCATTTCTCTTTCTGCGTATCAGTCTATAAAGAAAGAAGTGTCTGGCATTTACAGGAGAAGAAAAGAAAATTTGCAAGAATTAGCATATATTGATATTATTGCCAGGGAAATCTCCGCTCAATCTAATTGTTCACAAATAAATAGATTTTACATGGTTAGAGACATACCAGTAAGACACTGCTGATGCCAGACATTCCCAATTCATAGAAGAAGGAAACAAAAGAAATGCTCTTAAGCGCTGAGCTGAGAAAAAAAAAAACTGAAATTATTAGCAAGCATACATGTCTGAAATGATAATCTTTCTGTATTTTAAGTTTCATTTATGAAATGTATCCTGATTCCTTCATTCTGAACAAGAGGCAGCTTTTGAGTGTTGGTAAGCTCACTAAAAATCAAACCACTTGAAACATCAAGCAAAATTACCTGCTGGTAACAACATTTACAGCATGTTTCATTGAGTAAAATCGTTCCTGAACAACATTAAATGTTTTGTTTAGAAAAGGGATATGCTGGTCTGCTTTTTGAGTTGGCCTTACTGTTTCTGTCAGGAATATGGTCATGTAAACAGGAACAAAGACCAATAGAGCTATTGATACCTGAAAAACGAAATTTTTTTTGCTGTAAATAAGAAAGTAATAATAAGGAACATGACAACAACAAAATGCCTAAAGTTCTATAACTAACATGCCTCAAAAATGTAATCTTCTGGAAGAAAACGTGCTAAGACATTCCCTACGACATGGGATGCAGAGAATAGTCCAGTGATCCAACTAAAAGCTGCAGGCCGCTTACTATCATCCACGACATCTGCCTGCAAGAAGGTAAAAAAGGTTTGTAATTTTGATTCTTGTATAACTCCCAAGTCTTGTTTTACAAGAGTAAGGAATGAACTTACTGCATAAGCAACAGAAATGCAGAAAATGCTCCCCTGACTTATGATATAAGAGATTGTCCGGAGAACATAATAAGCATACACAGATCCTTTTGATTGATCAATGGCAAGTATAGCTGGAAATATTATTAAAAAGATAATTATTTTCACACGAAATTGCAACTTCTGGTGATGACAATAATGCATGAATCATGAACTTCATTAAAAGTGTGAAAACATTAAAATTGCATTTTTTGCATTAAGTGACATAGGTACTTTGATTAGTTGACGTTGCTTCAAAACAGACACCGTAAAATATCTATAAGATGATTTGACCTAATTACACCTAATCTAAAATTTATTTATTTCTGGATTATGCAACAATGTTTCACACGGCTAAATATGTTCGAGAAGGAAACTCTAAAACAAGGAATTTTGTCTTGCCCCGTCCCCATTAACTGCTCGGGTTAAATTTGAAGATATTAAAATATGTGCTTTACTGAGTATGGCTAAAGTTTATACTATAATATTTTCTGAGAAAAAAACCAGAAGAAGGCATCTCTTAGTCTCAACTTATATTGGCAGGCAGAATCTACAAGTTAGACAGTAGGGTACATACAATATTGCTGTATTCAAATACTCTAATGCCAGTATGTTCATATAAGAAAGGTGGCTCAAATCTTTTGGGTAAGCAATATATTACTGTTTTCATTTGTTCAAAACCCTCCATATTTTTACTCCTAACGTATCTGCTTATGGTTGGATGAAGATTCTACCAGATTGAGAGAAAATGTGAAGTTGTTGATATCTTCAGCTTCACAATGCTTGTCAAATAGAAGTTGATTTTTCTATCACGAGGTATTTAGTAAGGCTCCTAAACTGGCATAATCCAGATTATTTGTCTAAAACCAGTACCTTGTTATTTTCTATTCGTTAGGTAGTTTGTAAATTCCATGATGTTAGTGAAAACAATTTTTTATGTTAATGCACTGGTATAGCATTATCACGTAATTGCCAGTTATGGCCCCCGAAGGAAATTTGCAAGATTTTCAAGTAGATATAAATTCCTTTATATAGTAAAAAGTTGTGTAAAAAAAACAGTTGCACAAAGAAACATACTGAAAGGTATGATAGTCGTAGATACAGTGAGAAGAAGCAGTGGTTTACGCCCATGCTCATCAGCAAGCTGACCTAAGAGTGGAAGGACTATCATCTTGAATATTCCAACAACCTACAAGCACAAATGCAGGCCTAAAACTTGATGGGAGAGCATCATTATGGAGTGGCAAAATCATAGTAAAAATGTTCGGTTAAGGCAAGTTGTTGAACTCAAAGTCTGTCAACTTGGTCTAATTTGAGAGAATACTTTATATTGCTTGGAGCTGTACATTATCCTAGGGTAAGGTTCATATCTGTATAAGCCCATTACAGACATAAGTTACTTTTATATATCGTTGGAAATTATCTCCCATGAGTACACCATATTTCTCCCTATTCATAATTGATTCCTTCCAAATCCAACCACATCCCCCACCCAACTGCAAAAAACAAATAAATACTGCAACTCTCCACAGTCATTCTCCATGTATGTCCACTTGTTTTCCTTTCTTACGTTTTCACAATGTTGTTAGATTTTTATTTCAACATTCATCATAATCTATCAAGTGCGTAAGACTTGAGAATCCCATACAACCAGACACCTATTACTTCTTCCAAAGCACTAGAGACATATAACAGAAGAATATGTTCAAAAATAACAGGAAAATACTGAAAATACGGATTAAAAAAGTATTGCATCTACAATAAACTGTCTGTTCAAAAATATCAATTTTTTTTTCTTCTTTTAAAAAGTATAGGGGACAGTCACACATATCATGGATTCTTGAATTAAATTTCCATCAATCATGAGTGCTTTCTCGTTTCAGCTAGCTTCAATGTGCAATAATGTAATTTTAGTCTTTTTCTTCTTGAAAGGCCGTGACCGATCTACTTGTTTCAAGATAAGGAAATTTCATCTTGAAGTTGACCCATAACATAGATTATCAATGATAAATTAATTAGCTTCTTTAATGAAACCAACCAAAAACAACCTGTGTATCCTATGGCTATGTAGAGAAATCATTTATATCCTATGGCCCATTAGTTTGATTTATCAAAAGTGAACAATAGAAAACAGACAAATCAAAAGCAATTTCAACTATGTCTTCTTCTCAATTATTACAATGAAAATTTACGTAGTCAAGATGTACTCTAGTTAAGCATCAAATACGATAAGCGGACACTTTCTTGCACATCTACTTTTATTATAAGTAAACGAAAATATAAATATGTAGGTGTCAAGTAAGTAAGACTGTGACAATTCAATAATCAGTTTCACAATTAAACACCACCCTAGTCAGAAAAGCCAAAAGCCATCCCAAAAGATGAAGCTGAGGAATATACTTAACCACAAATATTTTATAAAAGATATACTAGAGTTTTAATCTCTTGAAACAAATAATTTAATTAATTTCTAGATCTACAAGATCTCACCTACATTCTTTCTGTATTTTTGCAAACTTGACTCTTCATCATTTCATTTAAATAGGTTGGCTCAAAACCGATAATCCCAGTAAGAAGGCAAATTATTAACTTAAGATTAAAGAAATTAAAAAAAAAAAAATCAATCAAGATAAAGGCAAACTCCATCAGAACCAAGATGAGATTAGGAGCCATAAATTCTGTATAAAAAACCCCCCAAAATGGTTTAAACTTTGACAGTAACCGATCATTAAACAACAAAACCCATATCCACCACAAAGATCACTTACTGTTTGCTGTAGACCATTGATGTAAATTGCCTGAGGGCAAGTTTTCCGGCCAGGACAAAGAGCATTAGTGGTGACATCAACCAACACAGAAACAGTCATTTCTTCGGCAACCCAGTGCACACATAATGGCAAAAGAAGGTGCAACAATGGCCTCAACTCTCTCAAGTTCTCCCGCCACCAACCCGCCGCCATTCTGCAATTTCTCTCCGTTTATTAACAACTACCAACGCTTTACCTGTATGTTGTTTGTATAATTTTACGTGCATTTATTTAGATATTTATAGTTGAAAATTATGGGTAGTTGAAAATTCAAGGAACAATAATGTATTGACGAAGGTGAAGTATCATCAATTTAATAATGCAATGTGTACGTCACTACGAGGATGATGGCTTGAATTTAATACCTATTAACAAGATTGAAATTAAGGTTGTGCTCTGTCTTTACTAAGGTGTACGTTGCTTGAGCACGGATGGTGTCGGCTTCATATTTGGCCCGTGTTGGCCTTGGGTAAGCGTGTGGTTCAACGGGCCCGGCGCACTTAAAAGTGTTGCACAAAGCAAAATAAACTATTAAAAGGAGAGATTAGTCAACAAGTACACAATACATTACATAATCTTTTACACTTGCTAAGCTGGCGTCTTCCTCATTCACAAATTTTTTTTGAGTCAATTTCTCGCCAAAATCTCGCGAGAGAATTGAACTTTAAAAGAAAGACTCCTTCCCCCAATTTGAATCTCGCTTGCTCAGCCAATTCCTCCTCTCTCAGATCTGCAAAAACCCTTCTCTTCGAGAGTTCGATCTTTGGCACAGTTCCTTCTCTTCCATTTTTTCAGTTTGAAGAACCGTGAGCCCCTCTCTCTCTCTCTCTTAACCGGCGTCCACTTCATACTATTGTGAAGAATCGAAAGACATCGAGGTTAGTATATGTTGTTCGAAATCGACTTTTTCCTGTTCATTCTAGTTATTCGACTTTTTTCTTGTATTTGCTTAGTCAACAACTGATTTTTACTAGTATTCGATGTTTTCGCAATTTTTTTTTGGGAATAAATCTGGTTATTCGAGAGTTCGATCTCCCTGAACAGTTCCTTCTCTTCCATTTTTCCAGTTTGAAGAACCGTGAGCCCTTCTCTCTCTTCACCGGCGTCGACTTCATACTATTGTGAAGACTCGAAAGACATCGAGGTTAGTATATGTTGTTCGAAGCCGACTTTTTCCTGTTCATTCTAGTTATCCGACTTTTTTTTTTGGGAAGAAATCTGGTTATTTGATGTTTTTGCCTTTTTTTGGGAATAAATCTGCTTATAATTTTATTTGTTGATGTTTAGTTGATAGTTATAAAAATGGGTTTTGATTAGTGCAACAAATCGTGCCATTTGTGTTTGCATAGTTGTTGATGTTAAGTATATAGTTGTAAAATTGTGACTAGTGCAGTCAATCTTACCATTTATGTTTGCTTATTTGTTGATGATAAGTGTATGGGTATAAAAATGGATTTGTCACAGCAAATGGGCAAACAATAATCTGTGAAATAAATATGCTTATTAGTTGATGCTAAGTAATGTTGGTTAGGTGAACTAGACAATCGGTACAAGTGTTCCTTTTATCTTATGTTAATTGGTCTTGTATTTGTCAATGCAATTTGTAGCTGATTTGGTATCTCGAAACAATTTGCTGCTGATTTGGTTATTTTGTGGTTGCGTTAGTCATGTTTGATGGCAGGCAAGAATAGAGGAATCTATCATAGTTGTAGACAACCAGGACACACGTTGTTGGAATGCCCGAAAAAGAGAGCATGTCCAAAATGTGGCGAGGGTTTCATCAAATGGATGGAGGTGGAAAAGAATACTGAAAACATGGGAAAGATGTTCCATTGTTGTACTCGGGACTACAGGTATTTCAAGTGGAGTAATGTTTTGCCCGCTGAAGAATATCAGTTGCATATTAAAGATGAATCAAGTGGTGTCCTGAAGCCTAAAGATCGGTTCGATGATTTGTCACATATGTTCAAAGAATTGACTAAAGTATCTACTAATGAAGATGACTTGGAGATTTCGTTCAGCATAACTATTCACAAGGGGAAACGAGTTTTAGAAGGCAACGACAATTGAAGGAAAGCTACCGTGTAATGTTAGTGTAGGACTGTGTATGATGTAGTTGTTTATGGATGTAATTTGTAGGTGGATGGTTATGTGTACTGTAATGGTGTAGGTTGTTTAAAACTGGTTTGATTCAATGAGAATTTCTTTTGGCAAAGATAATATTGCTCATGTCATTTATAGCTTTCATATGTGAATATGGAATCAAAAGAATACTCTTGTAGTAAGAACTAAAGGAGATAACAAAACGAAAAACATCAATTGACAGATTCAGCCACTGCATAATGGTCACTCCTATACTAAACTGAAACTTTCACAAATATATACCATAAGAAACCTGAAATTAAAGCAAAAGCACAAGTTTGTGAGACTAGAGAAGTATAAAATAAACTTCTACCGTTATTCACTGATTGATAAACATAGATTGTGATTTGTTCTGTTTTTTATTGGAAACGAAGCGGATTGAGCAATTTCTATACCGAATGGCAGTCCACGAATTTTTAAAAATCCCCAGGTAAATGAGGGAGAATTTCTAGCATTTTGTAACCAATTTTTGGTCTAAAAAGAGGTAAGTTTAAAAGAAAATGAACAAGTTTACAAATAAGTAAAGTAAAAATTAAAAGAAAAACTCATGTATATTCCTAGAATACAATCAGAACCATGATGAATTCGAAGTTATATACATCAAATATATGAAATATCCCATCTGTTTGTACAAAAGTTCATCGACTTGTGCATATGGAATCAAAAGGCTTACTCAAGATCTTACTTTTTCTCCATTGTTACACGT